CATGAGAGAGTAGCATAATCATAGAGGGAACTTAGTAAAATTAAGTCATGTAAGTATCTACTTGTTAAATGACAAAAAATAAATACAGATATATGAAGTGTGAAATTGAAGCCACCTGCTGCCTCTGAAATAGTATTACTTTTTTTTTTTTTTTTTTTTTGCTTTAAAAAACCAAGCAATTAGAACTGGAGAGATGGTTCAGTGGCTAAGAGCCCTGCCTGCTCCTCCAAAGATCCCGAGTTCAACTCCCAGAAACCATATGGTGGTTCCCAAACATCTGTAATGCATGCATGCAGGCCGAACACACACACACACACACACACACACACACACACACACACACACACACACACACACACACACTTTTTTTGGTTAAAAATCCTGCATTTTATGAAAGTAAGAAAAATCAATGAAAATGCAGTTTTTACCAAGGAACTTCACCTTAAGACTATTTAAGGTCATTGTAGTTTTAACTGTGTGGATTTTTCAGTGTGTTTTTAGTTAAAATATATACTGTCAGGGAACTAATCTTGCAGACCATCTATTATAAACTCAAGTCCTTCTCATGCTAAGTTTGGAGGTGTTGAGTGCCGTGAGGGCTTGAACCAGTGAAAAATGTTCAGGGCTCTAGAGTTTCTGTCTCTGTCAAGTTAGCTTTTATTTTGTGTGGCCAATATCCCCTGTCTTATATGGATGTGCGTTGGTGGATAGCTTACATTAGTACCGCCTTTTTCTTTGTTGCCTCCTACTTCCTTATTGAACTTACTTTTTTACTGGAGGACTGAGAAACAATGAAGACAATTTTAAATATATACTTGTATTTATGTTTTGAAAATTTCAAACCCACATGCAATGTAGTTTAATCACATTCCTCCCCCAGTATCCACTTCTGAATCCATAATTCCCCAGATAACCCCATCCAACTTCCTATCTTCTTTATTTTTAAATTAAAAAATATTTTAATGTATTTTAATTATAGTACACTTACATCTCTTTCCCCCTTTCCTTTCCTCCCTCCTACCTGTTCTGTGTGCCCCTTCCACTTTCAAATTGATAACCTCTTTTTCTTAGGTCATTATTGTTATGTGTGTATGTACATGTGAATATATGTAAATGAAATAAACTGAGTGGATGTTTGTTCTTAATGTGTGTATGATTTCAGGGCTGACCATTTTGAATTGGATAATCAATTATGGATCTCAACCCTAAGAGAGGGTATTTCTCCTTCTCTCAGTAGTCATTAGTTGACTATTGCTCTTTGTTTGCAGATTAGACATTTTGAGATTTTTCTTTTCGTGTTAGCATGTCTTGATCTCGTCATTGTTCAGGTCTTCTTTAGTCAGTCGTTTCTCAGAGACACAGTCTCGGGTCAGAATTCCTGATCTCTTCCAATCTTTTCATCCCCTCACCCACAATGTTCACGGAGCCTTGCTTAGTTACAATAGTTGTGTTGTAGAGTCTTCCATTGGGCATGGAGTCACGGTAATCTGTTGATCTCTGTATTGTGTTGGGAACTTCTGAAATGGTAAGGGATATGAACTACAATTATCTGTGAGTATAAGGATAAACTTCAGATATAGTTAAGAATTATGCTGGTCTCTTAAAGTTTAGGCAGTAGGTTCTCTTTTGATGTTGAGTGGGCCTACAGTACAACTAGAGAGTTGTTGGTTACTGGCAAGATTAAGAATGCCACTATTACACCTTTCTGTATATTTGCCATGCTGGCCAGTGTTATTGTTCATAGCTGGATATCTATTGTTTCCTTCCCTTTGCAGAGATAAGATTTCCTGATACTTAGGAAGCTAGACTAGAGGGAGGAGGCTTTCAGGTTAGAACCAGCTCAAATCATGCCAGTCCTGTGTCCTAAGCTGTGGATGTCACAATGAAGTCATATTTAGCTGGTACTATACTTGGCCTGGACTTCATTTAGTAGGCCTCCTCACTGAAGTTAAAAGCCACCTTGCAGGGATATTGTAACTGTTTCTGCTTCCAGTGACTTCATTGTTAGTCTTTTATACTCATGAAATTCCCAAGATGTGATAACCTTTAAATGCCTTAGGCAGGAGGATTTCTAGAAATTCTTGGTTTCATTATCATTTGACTTTTCAGTGTTAGTAGTCTCGCTCCTCATCTTGACCAGGAAGTTTTTGTGGTTCCATTACCAGTGATGAAGTAGAGTCAGGTATCCCAGCCTTTCTCATTTGAGTCAGGTGCCTTTTAAAAACATATATATATATATATATATATATATATATATATATATATATATACACACATGTATATATTTGAAGTCATAAAAGAATTACATCATTTCCCCTTCTCTTTTCTCTCCAATCCCCCCATGTACACATATGTCTTGTGTTCTCTAAAATTCATGATCTCCTTTTTAAATTGAGCTCACATTTATACATATGTATATATAACCAAATATGTAAATATAACCTGTTCAATTCCTGAAATGTTACTTGTGTGCATATGGCTTCAGGGATGACTGCTTGGTATTGGATAACTGGGAAACGTTTCCCTGGGGAAGACTTCCTCCTGATCTCAGTGTCGTCTGCCTCCCCCTTGCGCATAGTTCTTTGTCCATGGTTGAGGACCCTTGTGGTTTCCCTCCTCCATATGCGTGCCCAGTGTGTCATCTTTGTTTGGGCCTTGTTAAGGCAGTCATGTTAATGAGATTTCATGGGTGTAGCTTCTGTAACATTTAAGGAGACACATGTCACAACAAACTCCCTGTTCCTCTTAACAATATTTCCTCTTCCTCTTCTGCAATGATCCCTGAGATTTATGTGCAGGAGGAGCTGTGTTGTAGAGTTATCAGTTGAAACTAGGCACCATACAGTCTTTTGTTCTCCGTACTTTGATCAGCTGTGGTCTCTGTAATGGTCTCCATCTGTTGCAAAGGGAAGTTTCTTTGATATAACGAGAGCACAACACTTACCTGCATAAAAGGATCGTATTTAGAATATGGTTAGGAGTTATGCTGGCTTGTTTAAGTGATTTATCTTCAAGACTCATGATGTCACTGACCCTGGGTAATCAATTCACTGTGTTTCCAACTTTCAGAAATGGCTTTGAAAACTGGAAATAAGTACCATTCTCATTGAGACATTTTGCTTCCAGATGGTTAAAAGCATTATGGAAGTATCCATAATGTTTGTTTCCATGCCATTGCGGAATACTACTATGTAGCTAAGAGTCAACAGGTCAATTGCAGTCTCCGTTAATCTGTAAGACATTGCAGTGGTTCTAGATTTTATTCTGCCAATTGCCATTTTTTCTGTCACTGTCCGTTGATTGTGTAAGGATAGCCTGGAACACAGGCTGGTCTGTGAATCATCTGTTGTGGTTTGTGTTTCCCCGTTCTGGTTTATCTTCTTTCTGTGGTTGTTCTGTTGTCACCATTTTAAAAAGAAAGACAAATCCCAGTTGTTAAATGTGGTATGTTTTGCAAGAAGGTGCTGCTCCAGCCAATACACATTTCTGTGAACATCCATCAGTATGTGTGCATTTAACACATTTAGTATAATATATTCCAATACACATTTCTGTGAACATCCATCAGTATGTGTGCATTTAACACATTTAGTATAATATATTCCTATACTGCAAAAGGTAAACACCATGAAGATATTTATTAGACATTTACTGTGTAGCAGACAGGTGCCAGAATGGGAAACAGTACAGAAAGAAACAAAATTCCTACCCTCAGGGAGCTCTCCATTAATGGTGGTTGGCGACAGACTTATCTGTCACTTTATTAATATCCCTAAGTGACTTGCATATGTCTTTCTTTTTCAGATGGTTAGCTTTACATCAGCCACTTCTTCATGCCCTTGCTTGGTGATTATAGCAAATTTCAATGTTCTTTTAGGGTCAGGAAATTATGTCTTTGATCTTGCAAAGATGACATATATGTCTTTTAGAGCACCATATATTTCTGAATGGTGAGAAATTAATTCTTTCACTGGTCACTTCATTGTAAGGAAGTCATAAATGAATAAAGCACAGGTTGAGCCTGACACATTTAAAGAGACCTGTAGGTAAAAGAAGAAGTCTTAAATCTACTGAGGATGGTTCTTAGAAAAATTTAGGAGTCCGGATGGGTGTTTTGTATCCTTGAAAACTCTTTGAATGGCAGCTCTGTACACTGGATTATGTTTAACTCTCCCTTGCTCAGCTGCTTGTCAAGAGTCCAGGGACTGTTTCATTCCCTAATTAAGAAGTATGGAGTTCCATCCCGGTCGGGTTTTATACACTTTTGCCTCTATGTGACATTGAGAAAGAAGATGTCTTCTCAAAAACATTGGTTCTTCATCCATCGAAGTTCACAAGAGATGTTGAACTGCGTTCTTCTGGCTTTGTCATTTGGAATAGGCTTCAGTGTCTTGCAGATGGTGAAATGTTATAGAGAAGATAAAGAAGTTATAATTTCACTCCATAACATCTCAAAGATAATCCAAAACACATATGTGCACAGGAAGCTCTTTCTGCTGCTACTCGCATGCGAAAGCAGGACTGTAAAATAATCTTATAGGTCTGCTAACCAGATTTTACCTCAAGTATGAAATGCAACCATTAGTTCCATAATAATGTCAGTTTTTCCATTCATGTAACTCAAGTGATGAAGTTTTTAAAGATATACTTTTATTTTCATGCAAGTAATTTTACTATGAGTGAATTTATTATACTAGTACAAAGTCCTTATGTTAATCTTCAATGTTATCACATCAGTATCTCTGAGGGACTGATTACATGCTAAAATATGTACTTTCCTAATTGTAACTTCACTCCTGGTGTGTCCCTTTATGTGAAAGAAAAAAGGTACAGAGATAACGATGCTGACTCTAATGAGGGGGTAGTACAGGTCTCGTAGGGTTTATCTAATGCCAGCCCATCTTTACTTTTACAGCGTGCCCTTACTTGTAGAGCTTGACCTTCTGATCATGTGCTGAAGTCTTTACTTATTCTTAACTTTCTCTGTCTTGAACACGTAGGGCTGTGATCTTATTTCAACTGCTGACCAAGACCACACTGATTTTACCAAGTGTCTTAAAGTGCTCCAAAGGAAGATAGAAGAAAAAGAGCTGCAGGTAAGATGTGTGTCTCCTAGAAAGGAAGGCCTGGCAGTCAAGATGAAAAGACCCTGTGTGGTTATTTATTTCTGTGTTGTTGCTTTTGAATTTCTACCTGATAAATCTGGACTGAGCTGCAGAGATGTCAATGACTTTGCATAGGTAAGAGATCACACGTATTGATGACTTAGAGGTATAAACAGGTGACCTGGACCATGTGTGAAGCAATCCAAACAGATCTTTTTGCAAGCTTAAAAGGGATCAACAAGTCATCATTTCTCACACACTGTTGCCAGTTAAATGTTGTATATTGTGCATGGAAAATAGATACAGTCTTGATTTGGCCCATGAGCCATCATTGTAAAGTTTACATAAAGAGATTAAAATACTGTTTTTTTTGTATTCTAGCTCAGGAAGGCATCTAGTGATTTGCATTTGTGTATTATTTAATGATAGTCATCCGTCACCCAAACGTTCAGTTAAATTAGTTAGTACACAGCCTGTATTTCTTATGCTTTCATTACCTGTTGAAGTGTTATGAAATTTGTTTTAGGTCTTTCTTTAAATGAACATCTAGAAAATTATAACTGAAGCCTTGAGTGATTAATTTTTATTGTTTGGTCTGGCAAGGGCAATAACTTAAGCCAGTATATATTATCAATTTTATAATTTTACACCAAGGAAACACCCTAGTATATTGGAATGCTTTTGGTTGCACAACTATCAGTGTAAATGCATGCCAATCTGACTTCATTAGTCTAGCTTGGGGGAGGGGGAGCCTGAAAGCACACCTCAGGCAGGTCCTTACTCTTCTTGATTCATATTCCCATGCTGCATGGCTTCTCTTCACAAGACTTCCTTGAAGACGTAACTGCCACCAGCACCTTTGTCCCTTTGCAGCAGGGAGATAAATTTGTGAAGATTTCTCATCCCTTTCCACCATCGGCCAACTTCACCCCCAGAATCCCTCTATTACACAACTCATGGATTGCAAAAAGCGGGTGAGGGTCCACTGCCTGCCGTCGAGAATGAGGAGGGTCTTGAGCCACTGGATCGTTTATTCAAAGCACACCAAATCCATCTGGCAGATGGCAGGGCTGTGGGAGCAGAAACTTTAGTAAGAACATATTCCTTAGCAGTGAGGTCCCTCAGAGATTTACTCCAGCATTTATGTTCTAAGTTAAGGGAATAAATACTTCTCTCTCTCTGAAGAAAAACCTTGTTAACTGTCATAACTGACAAGTAGTTCAATGTGCAGGCACATCAAAAGCATTTCAGTGAACCTTACTGAACTACACCAAATAATTTTGTGCTATTTCCAGCAGTAAATTGCTATAATTTACTATTTGTTTAGTAGAAAAAAAGAAGAAAACAGCCAATTGAGAATTACCTGCTTTAACCACATATAGCTGATTTGGGATTTATTAAGAAAAATTATAAATCTTTGCAACTGTGTCTATATGTTTCAAGCACTTCTGCAAAAATTATTAAAAAGGGAAATAATTATTTGACTCTCATTTTTTGTATAATTGATAGTATCTATAATATAGTATTCATAATTTTGTCTCAAAAGAGTTATATCTCAACTTAACAATATCCCCACATACATGAAACTCCCACACTAAGGTAAAAGACATTGTCTGAAAAAAGACCTATTTAAAATATCAAAATAAGCAAATAATAATAATTATTATTATTAAATGTTATTATTAAGTCCAATCAGGCAGCAGTTTTGAATGAAGTATCTGCTGGAGGACCAGCAGTGTGCACTCTTAGCAGTGACCTTGTCTTCCAGCTGTGCTGGTCCTAGATCTGCTGCTGCTGGGAGGAATGTGGTTTGGCTTTGGAGTTTGCAGGGATGGCTTGGACTTCCTATGCTGGATGCCGAAGCTATCTGGGTGGTGGCATGTCCAGACCTACATCTTCAGTCCTTTACTTCATGGATCTTTCTTATAGCTCCTAAAATGAATTCTACATGTTTGTCCCTTTACTTTGTCCCTTTATTTGGAATTCTGTTTTGTTTTCTTTCCTTGCCTCAACCATCCTTGGCTGACTTGCCAGGCTTCCCTTAGTGGTCATGTAGGTTAGGGTCTGCTCCTCCTCATTTCCACACAGCCCATTATTTCTCCTTTAGGGCACACTGAACACTTTAAAGCATTTTGTTAATTATTTTTAACCATTTGTACCAAGTGTTTCTTCACATCTTTCCTCTCCATCCCAGGAAGCTGGGATCGGCTTCAGGTACTAGAGACTTAATGGGAGCGCTTTGCAGAAAGACGTACTCTGAATGCTTGGTGAGTTTGATGTTTTGTGAGCATACAGATGAGCACAGTTATGGAAAGGCATTTCAGAGAGGCTGTGACTAGTGAATAGGAGCTAAGCAGCAGATGAGAAAAGCACATTTAAAATCTGCACTGTGCAGTAAGGACAGATTGCTTGGTAAAGGCAGGGAAACACCATGTCCATTCTTCAGGGTCCCAGATCGGCCTGAGATTTAAATTAACATGAGCTGAATCAATAACAGAAAAGCATACAGATTTATTTACTACCGATTTTGCATAGCATGAGAATCATTGAAGACATAAAAAAAATACCAAAGTAGCACTTAGAATCAATTAAGTAAGGGACTGGTCAGAGAATATTTTTATTGAAAATAAGGTTGTTTTTCATGCAATATATTCTGATTAAGGTCTCCCCTCCTCCCTCTCCACCCAGTTCCTCTTCCCCTCCCCTTCTATCTGGATCTGCACTGTTCTGTCTCTCATTAGAAAGCAGACAGACATCTAAAGAATCATAATGAAATAAAATACAATAAAGTAAAGCAAAACAAACAAGCCAGAATATGGCAAAACAGCCAGACAAGAGAAGGAGCCAAAGAAAAAGCACAAGAAACACACAGGTTCACACACAAGGGATCCCTTAAAAGTACAAAACTGAAAGTCATAATACATATGCAAAAAAACTGTAAGGTTAAAAAAACACTCTGACAGCATTATGAGACACAGATGCTATTGAGTTCATTTTGTCTTGTGCATGGAGCCCACCCTTAAGAGTACTTTGTTTCCCCAGTTAGATGCCCCTAAGAACAAACATTTTTCATTTGCAAGTGGCTGTCAGTTGGGCATAGCTTCTCGTTAGGAATGGAGGTATGTGTGTTTCTCCTTTCAACTCTAGGACCCCTATCTGGATCAGACCCATGCAGTTCCTGCAAATGTTGCCTCAGTCCCTGGGTTCACATCTGCTTTGTTCATGTTCATTTAGAGGGCCCTGTTTTCTTGGTGTCCTCCATCCCCTCTGGCTCTTTCTCTTTTTCTGCCTCCTCTTCCACAGAGTCCCCTGAACCCTGAGGGGAAGAATTTGATGGAGACATCCCATTTAAAGCTGAGTGTTACAAGGTCTCTCACTTCCTTCACAAAGTCTGGCTTTAGGTCTCTATTTGTTCCCAACAGCTATGGGAGGAGTCTCTGGTGATGGGCGAACAAGGCATGTATCTGCTTTCTTCACAAGGGAATGGACAAAAGTATTAATTATGAGAAGCACCTAAATTATGCATATAGGCATATTTTATTACTACTTTACCAGCACCATGCAGAGCTCTCTTAGTCTTCTCACTTTGAGGATAAGCTGTTGCCTCTTCCACACAGGGACTGAATGTCTGCTTCTAAGAAAAATCGTGAAGGCTAGAGACATCTTTTTGAACCTACTTTTTCATGTGTTTATAAATATTCAGTATACTAGAGTGGTGTGTCTATGCTGTGGTGGCTTATTCTGAGTGTCTTGGCTTCAGTGAACCAATGGAAGACAGTTTGAGAAGTTTATGATAGAGGAGATGATTATTTTAATATTATCAGAAACACACTCAGAGAGTGGGGAGGTAGTTCAGATGGCTGCACAAGCCTGGAGACCTAAATTAGATCCCCAGTATCATGAAAAAGTGGGGATTATAGACATTATGTTAAAATTCTGAGGATTAATCCTTAGCACTGAGGAGACAGACACAGGAGAATCCAGGACAGGCAGCAGCTGAATAGTGAGTTCCAGGTTCAGGGAAAGACCCTTGTTCCAGAAAATAAGGTAGAGGATAATGGAGGAAAACATGTTGCACCTTTGTGGCTAGCTCTATGAAACAGTGTTTTGTCCATTCTCATCTGGGAATATGGATTTACAACTCTGTCCAGGGTTTCCATGTTGTGTCTGCTACTTCCTCATTAGTCATTTATTTGCCGTTGTGTTTGAGTGGTTTCTTTGAGTGGTCCTATCAGACATCACATGTCTAATCACAATGTGTCCGTCACTTCTTCTCATCACATAGGCATATAATTTCACCCTGCTGTAAGAAGGAAAAGGGTTGGTTTTGTACAATAATGTATTTTGAGGCAGACAGCACTTTCACATAAACTTCCCTCTAGAATATTGCTGTGAGTATCCTATTTCGTTGTCAGTTACTATTATATTACCATGTGTTATATTTGAGGAAATACAGTGTCTATTGGATTTTTTTTTAAACTGGACGTAGAGCATGGGTAGGTTTTTTTGTTTTTGTTTTTGTTTTATGAAATAGGGAGAGGTAAACATTAGAAAGAAAATAATACAATAGTCCCCTCATCCATCCTTCTATTCCAGCATGAGATCGTGATAGCATTTACTGTTTTCTTCCTAAAGTGTATATATGAACTGTAACAAGTAACTCTTTATGCTTCTAATAAAACACATTTTCTATTTGATTTACTTATTAATTTATAAGGGTAAATTTCTTACCAAATTTTAACAAAAGATACAAGATCCTACTGCAAAATAAAATTTTAATGATGATGTAGATAAATGAGGTTCCTAGTGCAGTTGAACTTAGGGCAGTTCATGTAACACTGACTTTGAAGAATTTGAATCCAATACTGGTCTTAGCCTGAAGGAATTTGCTATCTAGAATATGAGACCAACTGAAGACAAATCCCACGAATTATCTTTATTTCCAAGTCCCCTCAAGTCCCATTCTTCTACAGGAGGGTTCTCTGATGCAT